GATGTATCAGCACTGGATTCACTAATAAAACTGTACAGACCTTCTTTCTTCAATCAGTACATGGAGAGAAGTAAACTCACTGATACTAATAGCACCATTACAATACCAGTACAAGAAACAATGGGGGATATAGCTACTGGTCAAACTGAGACAAAGAAGAGTAAGTTTGTATGTTAGTACTGGCCAAACACCTCAATACATTATCTGATACATATACATGTACTTATGCTGTGTTCAAAATTTGAGCTGATTCCAATCATATTTGGATTTTTTTTACAAATTTTAAAGTTTCTCCAAAATCAGGTCAAAGTCCCTGTACCAAATTTCGCCAAAATTGAAAAGTTGATAATTTACAATTTTTATTGCATTTCCTGATGCATATACATGTACTTATGTTGTGTAGAAATTTTGAGCTGATTCTGATCAAATTTGGATTTTTTACGAATTTTTAAATTTTCTCCAAAATCAGACAAAAGTCCCTGTACTATAGTACATGGTTTCAAGCCAAATTTTGCCAAAAATGAAAAGTAGAGAATTCACAGTTTTTATTACATTTCCTGATGCATATACATAAACTTATGCTGTGTAGAAAGATTGAGCTGGTTCCAATCAAATTTAGATTTTTTACGAATTTTTAAAGTTTCTTTAAAATTGAGTCAAAGTCCCTGTACTATAGTACATGGTCTCGGGTCAAATTTCGCCGAAAATCAAAAGTTGAGAATTCACAGATTTTATTACATTTTCTGATGCATATACATGTACTTATATTGCATAGAAAATTTGAGCTGGTTCCGATTAAATTTTAGATTTTTTATGAGCTTTTAAAGTTTCTCCAAAATTGGGCCAAAGTCCCTGTACTATAGTACACGGTCTCGGGCCAAATTTTGCCAAAAATGAAAAGTAAAAAATTCTCAATTTTTATTACATTTCCTGATACATATATATGTACCGTATTTTCTTAAATAAAAGCCCAGGCGTCTATTTCCTAAAATGGTATTTGGACCTCGAAAAAAATTTTAAAAAATAAAAAAAACTTAGGCCCAGAATGGGATTCAAAGTTGTGACCTAATGCACTTGACTTCAGGAACTTCAGGCAGTATCCACAAGACTACTGAGTTACATCATGGTTGATGTAATCCCCAGGGGGTCTACTTCAGTAATTAGTACCAGACCCCTTGTTCTAAATTTCAATTATTCATACACATTATCAATGATACAATATTGGACCTCATTCATTGTATGTTAGCCCTAACTAAATCAATTAATGTTTAACATAATGTCACCTCCTCCACATTATAATGAGACACACATTAACTGATACTATAATGACTATGCTCTATATTTTATCAAGCTTGATTGATCTTCACCTGTTACATGTAGATTTCTTGCATTATTGTCGACTGTGCATGGTCTTATTATCAGCAAAGGTTAGGTATTCATGTAATTGTCAAGTAGTGGAAGTGAAGTTTATGTGTACTCATCTCTCTTTCTCTAAGTTCTCTCCTTTCTCCTATTATCATCTCATTATTTGAAATTTGGCCCCTGTACCATAGCATGCATTCTTGAACAACTTTAATATGGTCTGTAGTATCACTGGGTACTACTGTATAGCGCTTTAATTTTGCGGAGCTAAAATTTCGCAGATTGATAAAAATCAATTTTTTGCGGAAATAACTTTTGCGGATTCGCAATGTTAGTGCCACGCCTTTAATGGCAATTGAAATATTAGCAGATCTTTAATTTGGCAGTTTCATGCTAACTATGAAAATAGCAAAAGTTTAGCTCCTCCAAAATAAAGCGCTATACGGTATATATTCTATTTTTAACTCTCTCTGACTCTCTTTTTCTATCATATGCAGATTAGTTTAAAGTATAGTGGGACTCTCCCCTGGTATTGTCAGGGCCATGCCCACCAACAATACCGAGACCCAACGGGTCTTGGTATTGTTGGTGGGCATGGCTCTCCCACTGGGGACGTACCCATTTACGTAAAGAGGATCCTACCTGAGTCAGTGTTACAGAAAGACTCAAAGATAAAGACTGGAGATGAACTGGTAGCAGTTAATGATTTAATAATACATAATGTAACTAAGGACTATGCTACTGAAGCTCTTACTAATGTACAGGGAACAGTGAGACTACTACTGATACAGGACCTATGAATGATATGATATCTGGAGACTCTATTCAATGAATGAAT